CCCCAAAACCCCAAAACCCCAAAACCCCAAAACCCCTTGCTATAACATAATTATTGGAAATAATTTTTGTTTTGAAGGAGATTCTCTTGCTCAATTATTCTTTCTTAACTGGCTATTTCTCTCCTCTGGATAAACTCAGCGAAGCAGGCAACCTTGACTTGATCGACTGGAATAAATTAACAAAGGGAGTTGATAAAACAACAGGGTCTATTTTGGTAAATGAGTCTATCCAGGATTCTATCCCTGAAAAATCAAATATAGCAGTCTCTCCAAAATATAGAGGGCAAGGATCTGGTCTGGTCATTGTGCCTTGTCTCAGAGGATCTACCTTGATCCTGGTAAAATTTGTTTCAGAGCTTATGAGAAGAGGTTGATGCTTTTCTTCCTTTTCCATACATCCTAGATCTTCTGAGGATGATACTATTGATTCTATGTCGGATGATACATCACTATCTTCATCTCTAAAATTCATTCTTTTTAGATACAATTTTATTTCATGCGCATGATCTTCTTTGGCACTAGCTAACTCCTTTATCAACATTCTATCAGTTGGCTAAATCATAATCTCAGAAGCTCACCTTTATTTCCTTCTTGGGCATTGTTCGACTAATCTTGGCTCATTCAAGTCTTTTTCAGAAGAAGATTCTTCCCTGCTTTTCTCCTATTTTGGCACAGAAAGGGCATTTTATAAGCATTACGTCTTTTCCTCTTCTTTTGTGCCAATCCATGATTTCCTCATACCTTTCCTTTTGTTCAGAAGTCAATTGATCGAGGATTTGTGCCTTCATATCTTCCTGGCATGAAACCAACTCGGAGGGAATTTTTCACTGCTGAAGAGCTTTGACAACTTTTTCTTTGTCTAAAATTATTTTAGGGGGCTCATCATCACTTGAGGTGTCAATGTTCTGCTTAGAAGACTCAAGTTTCGAAGTCTGTTGGTCTTTAGGTTTAATATCGCTCTCTTTCTGATCTATATCCCAAAATTATGGCTACTCCAACATCTCTCATAATCTCTAAAACCCCTTCACCATCTCTAATCTGTGCTTACCTTCCTTATTTTGTAGTACGCTCATTACCAGATTAGGGAAATTGTCTCCTTGCAGCTCGCTTAGCTCAAAAGAGTCATTGAGCATCTTCCCTCTATACAGCAGCATGTACCTCCCAGTGCTCTGGCCGTGCTCAGCCTCAAGCTTGGCTTTGACCATCCCAATAGTAGATTCCGGTGGTAACTGAAGCAAGACTTTTTGGCGATCAAGCTTAGTCACGTAGATGTATGCCATCTCCATTTTAAATGAAAGAAAATCTTAAATGTTTTAAGAAATTTGTGATTTTTACAAAGAAATAGGGGTTTTGGGGTTTTGGGGTTTTGGGGG